CCCAAAGGGAGCGCCCCCAGAGCTCTGAGCCATCGGGGGGGGGGGCCCCTAACCACAGCAGGTAACAGCAATGGTGCTGCTTAGCCTCCACCTTGGTGCTCCACGCCAGCCTCCATGCTGAGTGTCCTGCGGAGCGAGGATGGGTCAGCCGAGGCCACTCCCCAGGGGCGGGCACTGCTGCAGGGCCACGCTTTCCTCAAAAGGCTGAAGCAGAGCGAGTGCCTTTTCCTCCTAAAGCAAGAGCCCGGCTGAGAGAGCCCCTGCCCACCTTCACGAGCGACCAGGGGTAAAGAAAGAAGGGGAGGAGGGGTGCACACTGCCCAGGTCTCGGGAGACCCCGCTCTTGGGAACTCTTCGCGACCAGGCTGAAAAACCTGATCACATGCCTGAATGTGTCGGTGAGAGAAGCCACATTTCTGACCCCAGAATGAATTTTCCGGGCCACCTCCCTTCAGACCCAGGCAGGACCCTGAGAGGGAGTGCATGAGGGGTTTCCAGTTCCTTTCTCCAAATGGCTGCTTTGGCATCCTTGTGAACCTGAAGAAGCTATATAGTTCCACGTTCTACCTAATCGATAGACCCAGAAGATCAGGCAGACTTGCTCCCGGCAGGAAAGAACCCTGTGCTTCGTTTGGTACCTTTCATATTTATTACTAACGTCCGTTGAGCAGCAGCAGCCTACAGAAAGCCGCTTTGAGCAATCAGGATTTGAGGTGTGATGATGGCAAGGCGTGCGTTGCTGCCCTAGGTCATCAGTCTTCAAGTATCAGAAACAAGCTTCCCAGTCTGTTACCAGTCTAGACCCCGAAGCGAGCAGCTTCCTCAGAGCATCTGGGTCAGGGAAACCGAGAAAGGGGGACCACTGGCTCTGAGCCCTTCCAGCCACACATCCCGGGCCCTTGCTGCTCGGACGGGATGAGGACAGAAGGCACGTAACGGCTTCCTAGAGGCGGGCAGCCTGACAGCACTTGTCCACCTCCAGACGGACCCCCGCATTTAAGTGACCTTCCGATCTTGGACAAACAGCGTCTTCCTTCCTTATCTGTAGCAACTCGTAGGTAGAAAGCCAACAAGCACTTCCCAGGACCTGTCCCAAAGGAACGTCTCGAAGTGTTGCTACTTGACAGGTTGTGAGAGTCCTGTTTGATCACTGTGAATCAACCCCGCCCCTTCCTAACCACGCCCCTCCCTCTCTGTACATTTCCTAAGTAGGGCACTCAAGACGCACTCTCCCATTAGCTCAGATTCCAAGAGTCAGACGTGCTATCTCCACATTGGGCTAAGGGGGGGTGGTCAGCGGTAGAAGATGAGCGGTCTTACGCTTTAAAGCCCCTTGGTGCTCAGCGTTTTTCCATCCGCGGCTCAGAAGGAATGGCGTGCGGCATCTCAGTCCCCGTTGTGCGTTCTCAGAGTGGGTCAACATTACCACAGAGGACTAGCCACAGAGTCTTGGCCAAACTGTTGTGCTCTAGGTTCCCAGTGGTGACAAAAAAATCCAGAATGTGGGACCACACTAGGACTCTGAATCACACTCCCTCTAAAAAGAAGCCACGGTAACTTTTAAAACCTTTGTGGACTGTGGACTTAGCCCGAGTAATCCAACCGTGCAGAAGGCAATTAAACAGGAACACAGGCTAATCCGTCTCGCACGAGCCAGATGCAGCACAATTCTGTTGGTCATTGCTCACCTTGGAAGCTGGTCCATGCTCTAGCCAAAATCAAATTGTCCTACCTTGGCTTTTCTAAAAATGAGCGTATCTCTACTTGGTGTGAAATGCTCAATTAAAACAGGAATCACATCCTAAGGCTAAAAATGAACTCACAGCCTTTTAGTCACCTGAGCATCGGTAGTGACTGAAGTCCCATGGGTCAGTGTAAATGGGTCACAGCAAGGCAGAGCAAGAAAATGGCTTAGGGCCGATGAGAGGTTGAAAGACAGCCGTATCCGTTATTTAATTTTGTAATACAGTGCTCTAATACCTCTAGAGTAAGGGTTTGCGTGTACATAATAAGGAACACGATAGAAAAGACCTGCCTTTGTGGGGTTCTTTTATATCTGAGTCAGGAGTTTAAATTAGACTGTAATTTAGATCGTTTGCTGATTCTGCTGCTTACAGCAGGGTCCCTAGGATCCCACCTGAATGGGAGTCCCTAACCCATGGCTGGAAGAACCAAACATTGTCCAGAATATCCTTTTTTGGAAGTGTTTGAGCTGCCAGGTCAACACCAGGGTTTACTAGGTACCACGGGGGTCACGATGCTTGTCGTCCATTCAGTCAGGTTGGTTTGCTTCGGCTCCTCCCTGAGGAGGAACTGGTTCTGAACTTGCACCTGGGACATACTCACTTCTCTGCCGGCTCCGTGGCCCGGAGGCATCTGCCGGCTCCACTTACCCTGGTCTCTGACAACAGGTAGAAGTTCTTGTTACCTTCTACCGCCTTTGCAAGTCTCTGGAAATCCTTCCTGCCAATGAAAGCCTTCGATCCTGGCATTGGCCTCTCAACTAGATTGGCTTTGCCCGTCGCCATCTTCGGTCCTCCAGAGACCGCCCTGTCTATAGCATAGAACACCACCACCACGGGCCTGCCAGCCTTCACCACAGCAAACCGGGCCAGCTGTCTGCTGCTCAAGTCCCCTTCGTCTCCCAGGGTCAGACCAAATGCAGGATCAGCGACCCAGAGTGGTGGCACAGCCTCTCACCCCCAGGAGCCAAAGCAACGGGAAACAATTGGTTAGATGCCGTGGGGTCCGATTCTGAGAGTAGGTCATTTCCAGACATGGTTTTCAGGTGACCCTCAACTACCTCAGGTTTGAAGGCCCTAAACGAAGCTGATTACTACTCATAGGGACAAACCGAGGGGGTTCAGATAAATCTTGGTGATAACTTATAACAAACTCTCACATTTAGGTTTGCAGGGATAGGTTGGGTTTGTTTTTTCTTGTTTTTAACCTTTCCCCCAGTTTTCCATTAGAATAGTTCCTATAAATGAATTTCATTTTCCACTGAGTGCCTACCTTCCCAGGGCAGGTAGCCACTGGCTTTTGTTCCCTTCCAACAATACTTTTCTTATGGTATTAAGACCTTTCTTTGTATAATACATTGCATCTGTGTTTTCAATTTTTCAAATAAATATTTCAACCTGGCAATGGAGAGTAGTTGTGATGACCGGCCAACCAAAGTGGTTTGGAGGTTGGGGCTCCAGTGAAAAGCCTACACTTCTATCCTGGGATTCACTGAGTCCGCTTAAGCTCTGCACCTCTGGGAGTCGGTCTGAAAGACAGGACGTTTTCTGAGGAATACAACTGTAGAGAAACTGGTTTGCACTCCTTAATCATGTTCTGTCTCCTGTACACTGTCCTGACCTTGGGAATGATCGAGCGGAACGTGCCAAAGTGGCCAATGCTGTCATTTATCTTGATGGCCGGGTCTGTGCGTGAAATCTCGGGATTTGAGGTGTGATCTGAGGTCCCAGGCTATGGATGAGCCTTTCCCCGCCTGCAAGACACAATAGTAACCTGCCGTCTTAAAAATTGGATGGGACAAATGCCGCTCAGTGCCAGAGGCTGCCAGTCCCGGCTCCCAGAGGATCTGCAGAGGGAGCTGCTGTTAAGCTAAGGGGACATCCAAGGGAGGGAGGGAGATGGGGAAGGCCCGGGGATGAATTGCCCAAATGACTCATCAAGTAAGGAGAGAGGGACCGCCCAACGGGAAGATCATCTGGATAAATACAGAAATGGGGGAGGCTTGCTTACAGCCGGGGTTTTCTGCTCCCTGCAGCAAAATGCAAGGGTGAGCCTGTTGCATTTGAAGCACCACTGAGAGAGTGGACAGACCTTGGTCACAGCTGTCTTGTAGATCACTCCTGGGGCTCAAGTGTGAAGCTGAGGGGTCTAGAAAGCCAGGCAGAGGGCTGCTTTGAGCTTCGAAGTACCTTCCAGGGGCCTAGGTCTGGCCCGGCCAGCTGTGCCACCGAGGCAGGTGTACCCCGCCCTCGACACTGCCCAGCCTGCACATGGCCTTGACCAGATGCCCCAGAGGCTCTGGTACTCACACCTAAGGGGTCTTCCCAGCCTCCTGTGGCCACGCCCCAGTTCTAGAAAGGCAGCTTGGCCGGCTGGTCACTCCGGCAGGCAGAGCATTGCAAGGAATCTCGAGATCAGGCCACTAGAATGATACTAACGTGCCTTAATAAGGGCAGTAGGGGCGGGAATTAGGGCTTACACAGACGGGCCAAATTTGGGGCTTAGGGGTAGCCCTGCTAAAGTAAAAAGCAACGAAGGGAATGGGCAAGTGGAAGGATAGCGTAGCTGAAATCTAAGCCGAGGGCACACAGCTGAGGCACACGCTGTCCTGTTGTCTGAAGCCAGTGAGTTCATCTTGCTCA